CCACCACCACCACCACCACCACCACCACCACCACCACCAGGGCAATTTGGGGCTAGAGAAGTGGCTGAGTGGTTAAAAGCTCTTGTTGCTTCCAGAAGACTCAAGTTCAGTTTCCAGCACCCACATTAGGCAGGTCACAACCACCGTATAACTTCAGCTCCAGGGATTAAATGCCCTGTTCTGGACTCCATAGGCACCTATATAATGATGCACATACAAACACCTAGGCACAATGGCAGGCACAGGAAGTAGTTATTTCTTTAGAAAACATTCTAAATGATACAATACGTATACAGCTATGATCTATAGCACCACACAGAAAAAACCTCACCCTAAACATCAAAGCCTCCATATCACATACAGTCAAGAGGAAATACATTCTGATATAGATGTAACAATACAAACTGGATTATGGGATCTGGAGAGATGGCTCAGTAGTTAAGAGCACTGACTGCTTTTACATTGCCAGAACTCAAATGACTGCTCATAACCTTCTGTAATTCCAATTCCAGGGGGATCAGGTGCCCTCTTCTGGTCTCTATGGGCACTGCACATGGTGCATAAACACATGCAGGCAAAACTCCCATATACATAAAAAAAAAGAAAAACAAAAAAAAACAAAAAATAAACCCTAAATACAAACAGGATTCTATGGGGAGGAGGAGCACTCCTAAATCCCTAACTTAGATACCCGATAAGCTAATGCATTTTCATATCATCTCAAAACAAGTATGTATATATTCACGCATCTGTGTTACCATATGAATATATTAATGACATACTAGAAAAAGTGTGGCTGTAAAGCAAGATAATGGATGGGGATGTTATATTCAGTAACATGTCATGACCAATGAGAGCTCTACACCAAAATAGTCACACAAAGAAAATGTATATATGCTGGGCGGTGGTGGTGCACGCTTTTAATCCCAGCACTCGGGAGGCAGAGGCAGGCGGATCTTTGTGAGTTCGAGGACAGCCTGGGCTACAGAGTGAGTTCCAGGAAAGGTGCAAAGCTATACAGAGAAACCCTGTCTCGAAAAAGCCAAAACCAACCAACCAACCAAACAACCCCCGCCCCCGCATCCCCCCCCAAAAAAAAAAAAGAAAAAGAAAATGTACATAGTAGCCTACCCAAGTTGATAATATTTTGGGCCCAGAAACTAGGATCACAGTGAAACTGGATGGTATTGTTGGTCACAGGAGAAGCATCACACCTTGCACGAAGAAGGTGCCGTAACCGATATGTAATCTAGAAGGAAGCAGAGAAAGAACATTAGTATATTTCTTGGACAAATAATGCATTAACTTCTCAGTGAATAGCTGAAACAGTTTCTGCTATGTATGTATCTCTGCCCTTGGTTACCTCCCAGCACTTGTAGGTAATACCCCATTGTTGAAGATACCACACAATTGAACATAGGGGGAATATAGTTTGAACTAACATGGAACTTCCTCCCTGAGGACTCGACACATACTGCCAAGGGAAAAAAGCAACCAATAGTGCTGTCCAGCTATAAAGCCTCAGAACCACACAATTGACCCATCAAGATGTACCCAATGGTGCAATGGTGGCACTTATATCAGCTGTCTACTCAGACTTAAGGCCTGCTCCATAGGAAGGAATTCATGGCTGGTACTGTAAACCTAGCCAACTGCCTGCAGACCAAATGCCTGCTACTAGATAGCATCTTCTAGACACGACGGAAGCAGCAGGACATCCCAAAGATATGGTTCCCCAGACTGCACAATGACAATAACAGTTGACATGCCAATATAGATGGAGGAAATTCCGCAAAGTCTCACCTCTAGATGAAGAGCTACAAGCAATCAATGGCTGCTGAGAAAGAAAGTATCAGTTTTCATCAAGGACGCGCTCCCTAACATATTATCTAATCCAAAGTGATCAGCCCAAAAGACATCTACATATGAGCAACACTAAATGGACTCAGTAGTTTTTTTTTTTTTGGTGTGTGTGTGTGTGTGTGTGTGTGTAAGTAATAAAGAAATAGCCATGAATTTGAGGGGTGGGCATAGTAAAAGTCGGAGGAGTGGAAATAAAATAAATACAGAATCTGTGTAGAAAATTTTAAATCTTTTAATTACTGAAAGAAGAGCAATAGAGAGAGCCTAGAGCTAAGAACATAGAGTAAAGAGCACCTTGCTGCTCTTGCAGAGACCCAGGTTCAGTTCTCAGCAGCCACATGGCACACAACCATCCATAACTATAGTTCAATGGAAATGGGCCGCCTTCTGCCCTCAAGCAGCCAAGCACACACGTGATGCACACGTAAATGTAGGCAAACTTGTATACATAAAATAACTCTAAATAGTAATGATGAAAAAATAAATAAAGGGGGGCTGAAGAAACAGTCCGGCAGTTAAGTGCACTCGGTGCATTTGCCGAGCTTGGGTCATCCAGCAGCTCCCAACTGCCCTCAACTTCAGTTCCAGAGATCTGATGCTCCCTCTGACTTTGGCAGGCACCCTCATTCAAGCTGCATACACTCACGCTCTCTTATATCCCAGGGCCATGCTGGAGAGAGCAGGGCTGGGTTTACTCATCCCTTCCTTCTTTGGTGTTGCTCATCAGCTGGACAGCGGGAGTGGTTCAGGACCAAAGTTAGTTGAACAGTTCTCAGATGTCCCACTCACCAGTACAAAGTAGTGAGGAACAGAGAGCAAAGTTAAGTTTATTCCAGACAGTTTAGTTTGACATGTTCCCAGGGCCAGGCTGATGCTCAGCACAGGTATACACCTGGCTCTTGGATGCTCTTTGTGAAACCACTTAGAGGGCAGGGCAACTTACCTATTCCATGGAGAAGCACACTGTCCACTACCCTTAATAACTACTGCTTCCCAAGGTCTGTCCTATGTGCAGTCACACACTGGGCTCAGTTTCCTGAACCTTTCAGATGGCTCAAGTGAAAAGGGCGCTCCATTCCCTTTGCTGTCTCTAATTAGAATCTTTTTTGGGGGTGGTGGTGGTGGTGGTGAGGGGTCTGACAGGGTAGCCCGACAATATCTGTAGTTAAGTTAAAAGAAAAATTAAGCGATCTGTTTTCTAAAACAGTAAGCTTAGGCGTGCCTTCTTAGCTGGCTCAGAACTAAAGCATCGTAATTATACAGTGGGAAACTGCAGCACCTGCCTGCTTGCAAACCCAGACCAGCTAGATTCAGGCTGTTTTCACCTTGTACACACATTTCTGTGCTAACTGTCGTAGTAAGCCTCTGTCTTCCTTTCCTAATTTGCTCACCCTCTGCCCTGTCGCCTCATCACCATGCACGGCTCTTTCCTCCGCAGGGTTCTAAAGCGCAGCCTCTGGCCTCTTCTGTTTCTGTGCAGCACTAAACATCTTCTGAGCATCCCTCCATCGTGCAGCTTTTCTCCACTGCAGGCCTGGAGTCACTTGTGCTCGTGACCGCCCTCAACAGTATCTCAGTTCTGCTACTTCCTATTTGTAAAACTAAAATGGAACTCTAAGGGCACAATCTGGTTTTATCTACTGTCCCTTGACACTCAGAATGTTGTCTGGCAGGTGGAAATATTGAAAAACTAACTGTTGAATAAGTAAATTTTCTCCACATGACTACAAAACCTCAAACAACTAGAATAAATTTTGACAAAATGTATGAGCATACTTTGGAGACTGTGAACTGTGTTAAGAGCACATAACACAATGAACCTTCCCATGTTCTTCTTCCTTCCTTCCTTCTTACTCTTTAACAATTCTGACTATAAATCATACTCATGAAATGTTAACCCAACTTTGTACTGTCCAATGTTCTCACAAGTTTTAGCATTTTTTAAAAATGCAAAAATTATTTATTTACTAATAAAAATGGAGGCTAACGATGTAGTGCCTAATATGCAGGAGAAGCCGTGGGTTCAATCCTCAGTACCATATAAACTGGGTGTGCTGGTACATAACTAATCCCTGCCTTCAAGAGGTGGAGGCAGGAAGGTGAGAAATTCAGGCTACATGGTAAATTGAAGGCCAACCTGAGCCACACACAACCACTGAAAAAGTATCATGTAGTTTTCAATGTGTACTTTTATGAACTAAACTGGGCTAACCTTACATATTTTCTTAGGAAGACAGAATCTAATTTCAGCAGCTTGTACCAGTACACTGATTTGCTATGTAGTTACTCATTCTTTGAACACCTCTGCAGCCACGCTCTGCATACGAGTGAGGTGTCCTCTGTGCCTCTCACATCATACAGAAATGCTCTCCAGGTTCATCGTAGACAACTGACAGTCTGCTATGGTTCATATGAAAACTCTCACCAATACATGCTGAGAATGAATTCATCAAGTGAGTCATCAAGTACTACTGTAGGTTGGACTACTGGAACCAATGCCCCTTGATTGTAGGACTTGACAGTGGGACTTGGAAGAAAGCCACTCCAGCTGATTCATGTATGCCTTGTTAAGGGATGCCTTTTCCTACCTTGGAACATTGCATTCTCTACCAACACAAAGGCCTTCATCATATGCAGGCCCCTGAATACCACACTCCAGTCCCCAGAACCATGTACATAATGAATAGTACAACACTGGATTGCAGGTAACCTACAATATATTAACTTCATCTGCTTTGGATATATATCAAAAGCCAGATTACTAGATTGTATTAATAGTTCTACTTTTACCCTTTTTGAAGAACATGTACACTGCTTTTTAATCACAGCTGTACTAACTTACAGTCACCACCAGTATAAAAGGGTTCCAACATGTCCAATACTACTACAAAGTCACTTAATAACTTCTGTTTATATAATTTTAAAATTGTTAAAGTCCACTACAATAGTAAGAACCCCTCCATTCCCTTTACCCCAAATCTTCAACTGTTAACAATTATTTGCTCCAGCATCCACTCAACCCCTCCCACACACATTATTGATCTTCTCTGAGAACATGATGTAGACACAAGGCCCTACATGTGCTCCAGTGTGACCTAAAGTAAAGCAAAGATCTAATATAATCAAATTCTAAACTAAAAGTACCTGATTTAGGCTACCATCAATCCAAACACTTGGCCTGGTTCCTCTGACACATACATTCCCTCCATTCTGAGTACTGTCTAGTTTCTGGTACAGCAAGATACTCTGTCCACTCCACACTCCCTTTTTCTTCCTAAGTACATGGAAACCAAGAGAGTGGTTTGCTCAACTATGGACAGCACACAAACATATATAGCTGTCTGCCCATAGACAGAAAACTGTTTGTACTTTATGACTCCCTCTATTGCAACACAACTTGGAGCACTCTCTAGCCTTGTTTCTACCTTTCTAAATATGTTCATAGAAGACTGAATAACATTACCACCTTCAATACACTTGTACAACTCATTTAATAGTGTATTTGTTTATCTGACAAATTCAACCCAAATCCAAGACAGTCCCCCGTCTTACAAGATTTCTGTTATTCCATCATTGTTTGGTCCTGAAATGTACCTGCACAGGCTGGTGGTGTTGACACTAGGCCTCTAACTGTGGTGCTATTTTGAAGGCTGTGGAGCCTGGCTTGTAGAAGGAAGTCATACCTATTCCTAGTTCTGCTTCTAGGTTGCTGCCAATGTGGCTGAAATTTTGGTGGAACTGTGAACCAAAATAAAATCGGAACTGTCCAAACTTTTGGATACTTTGTCACAGCTCTGACTATTGGTCCATGCTTCTGGGTGGTTCCCAGTCCTTGTTATACTATGTCTCTATTTATAATACTGATACCTCCATGCCAGGAAGAAACAGGAATTTTCATTTTTTAAAAATTTATTTTTTTTCTCTCAGAGACACATTATAGAGACCTAGTAGTTTGAATATCAAATGTGGATAACTTAAGGTTTCTTGTAAGAAAAACAAATAAGAATATGAGTACTGGAGCTGGAGAGATGGCTACATGGGTTAAGAGTGATTGCTGCCCTTCCAGAGGACCTGGGTTCCCTTCCCAGTACCCATGTTGGAGGACTCACAGTCACTTGTAACTCCAGCTCCAAGGGTTGGATGCTCTCTTTTGGCCTCTGTGGGCACCCAAAAACATACACATAAAGAAAACTAATTTTTTGAGTACTTCCTTAAGGGTAAGCAACTGTAATGAAAAGGAATTGTAAGACATATTCCTTGGCTATAACTCCAAGCTAAGTTGTAAATCCTTTCTATTTAATATTGAGATTTTATTTATACCTCGGAAATCAAGTATCTATTTACATATCTGTTGAACAGATAACAGAAAGGTCTAAGAGTACTTACTATCAGATATGGCCAAACTTGGCTCCTTGTCCTGTGTTAAATGCTTAGGATTTTTATCTGCTTTATTATCTATCTAAACCGTGAGCTGTTAAACTTGACCAAGCTCCTGATGTGCTTTAGATAACCTAGGCCTAGACAGTATGAAGGATAACTGAAGGTTCCTTAAGTCTACCTGTTCATCTCTTCAGACCTAAGAACTTAAAATGAACTCAAGCTGTATTGACACTGAAAAAAATCTAGCTATTCAACATAACAAGGAAAAAAAACATAACATAAAGGTTCCTTAAGTCTACCTGTTCATCTCTTCAGACCTAAGAACTTAAAATGAACTCAAACTGTATTGACACTGAAAAAAATCTAGCTATTCAACATAACAAGGAAAAAAAAACATAACATAAAATTTTACAAAAGTAGCAGAAAGTTTGGGTTTTTGGTGGGATGGGAGTGAATCCAAGGCCTTATACTTAACAGGCAAATACCTTACCATCGAGCCAGCCCTGGGTCTACAAATAGCTCCTTTTAACAATTATTATATTTGTATGTTAGTTACCTATGTGCTCGTATGCACATATATATCATGTGTATGGAGGTCAGAGGACAACTTGTATTGTATTGGTTCTTTCCTTCTACCTTTTGGATCCTGGGGACTAAACTCAGGACATCAGGCTTGGCAGCGAGAACCTTTACTGCTGAGCCAAATCAGCTTTTTAACACAGAAATTCAATATGCTATTACCCTTCTACTGAGGTTTAAACTGACTTTAAAATTGATGTCAGTAGTTGTGAAAATCCCTCCTACAAAGAGCATGGTCATCTCTAGCTCTGTCAGACGTCCACCAATCTTTCACTGAGCTCTCGTCCTGTCAAGCACTGACAGACACCAAGTTCTGTCCTTAAGGTCTTAGTATTTGAGTGGCTTTTTAAAAAACTACTGGTTTTTCCCTCTTTAATGTATTGATTCATTAAAAATTCAGGGATAGGCCGGGTGGTGGTGCACATCTTCAACCCCAACACTTGGGAGGCAGAGACAGATGGATTTCTATGAGTTCAGGGCCAACCTGGCCTACAGAGTGAGTTCCAGTACAGGTTCCAAAGCTACACAGAGAAATGCTGTCTCAAAACAAACAAACAAACCCAAACCAACCAAACAAACAAAAAACCCCTTAGGGATCAGTTTTTTTTAAAGAAGTCTAAGCCAGATGTGGTGATATGTGCTTCCGGAGCACAAGCCAGGAGAACCAACCATGGTGGCAGTGATTAGTGGAGGTGGATGGAAAGATAAACACTATGATAAAGCATCAGAGGAGCACCATGTTCTGAATACTGAGGGTTAGGAGTAGGGAGCCAGTAGTGGGGCTAGAAATAAGACATTCAAAGGGAAAGGGCTTGATTGTTGAGATGGGAGGAGGAAGAGGGCAGGAGACCCAATCACCTCTGTTATCCTTGCTCCTTCACACTTTCCTAACCGTTGGCAGTAAAGAAATACCCACTGCCATCACAAATGACTGCTTTCTTTTCATACAGTCTCAACTAACATAATTTTCCTGCCTTCTTTCTAAACACACAGATTTAAAAGTTTAACAGATGACAAGAGAAATTCTAAGAAAAGTAATGTGAAGTTTAAATATTTCAAAATATAGTATTTTATGATTGGACTTCTGAATGGGGCTTAGCCAGTTTCTGTCTCTTTCTCCAATTATGAAAAGATGAACTAACTAAATTAGAAGACATAAAATAAACAAGTAAGGCTAAATCATACTAAAATACTTCTGCATAGTCAAAAAAATAAGCAAAAAAGGTTCCCCTGATTAGGAGGGAAAGTCTGCAAAACACAGACAAGCAGGCAGGCAGGCAGGCAGGCAGACATGCACGCACCACAAAAGAATAGACATTTTCCCAAATGGGGTTGGAGAGATGACTCAGCAGTTGAGAAAATTTGCTGCTCTTTCAGAAGACTATTTAGTACCCATGTTGGGTGGCTCACATGGCCTATAACTCCAGCTCCAGGGGATCTGATGCCCCTGGCTTCCACAGTACCTGCACACATGTGCATATCCCTACATTCAAATGCAATTATATATACATAAAAAAGTCTTTAAAACCGTCCAATAGAGCTATAAACAGGTGCTGAACCCCACAAACCAACAAGTTAAATGCAAATCAAAACCACAAGGATTCACCATATTATCAACTATGGCTGTTCACTAAACCATGGTCGTAAGTGCTGGTGAGGGTTAGAGATTGGTGGGAATGTAAACTAGTATAGCCATTATGGAACATTATATGGCCAGTCAACTCAAACAATTAAACTAGTACTATATGACCTAGCAAGCTCTCTAACTAAATATATTCCCAAAGACCTGAAAAACATGGCAGAAAATTTTTGGCCTTCCATGTCTATTGTATTTGTCATGATGGTAAAGATAGAAAAACAACTTATATGTCCACTGATTGATAGACATATGTACAGATCTATATACCTCTGTGTCTACTGATGAATAGTGACAGACATATTTACAGATCTACATACCTTCATATTTCAATCTCATATACAATGGAATGGTATTTAGCAAAAACAAAAAAACAATAACGACCAAACTCCTGCCATTTGAAACAAGAATAAAATAGTAGGCTATGCTTAGTAATATCACTGTAATTGAAACTAGCATAAGATAGAATTGCTTTGTTATCTCATATCAAATCTCAACACAACAAAAAAGTCAAATATGTAGAACAGAGAACCAGCAGTAGAAAAAGGCCGATAATGCTGAAGGTCAAAGACAGATTTTCAAAAAAATTAATTACAAGTGTTTATATAGATTATTTTTTGCTAAAACAGTAAAAACAACTAAATCACTGTTAATCATGAAAAAAATGTAAAACAAATCAATTCATAATCAGGAATAATTTAGAAATGCATATAAATTAGTATTATAATAGCATTCAGCCACACTTTGAGAGACCTGCCTTTAAATGATTTATAAATATTTTTATAATTTAAAGTATTTAATTATTAATTTAAATAAGTAGAACTTCTATAACACATATGTATTATCTCTGTCACTTGATTGAGGCCACAAAGAATAAAGGACAAAAGATGTGGAGTCTTACTACTTAAGACTGTAAGTATCTGTTGACTTTCTAAGCCAGTCTTGCTATTCAAACCAAAGTTGAGACCAACAATATAAGCAGCCCTGGAAGCTTGATGGCAAGCAAAGGACCTTGGCCCTGCCAAACTCACCAAAGTGCATGCTGCAGGGTCAGTGGCAATACTTTCAGTAAGTTCACCAAATCCCAAATCACCCTGGTGAGATGCTGTTCAATACCAGCAGCGCATGCTGCAGTGTGACAGATTATCAGAGTCAATGGAAGGAAGGCTTGCTTACACTCTTCACAGGATAGTGTTAGGCATGCTATGTACCTCTCCTCATTTGTCCACTGAAATGACTGGGTACATCTAGTAATGGTGTGAATATTCAACATGGAAAATGCTTAGAATTAGACTGTGGCATGCTGTAGGTGACAGGAAATGTTTACTATTGGTGTTCATTAGTACACTGGGTTTATTTGCCACAAAGGGTGAAAGAAACAAATAGGAATGGAAACAGGAGATTCAAATTGAGGTCACATCAAATATATTTCAGGAAAAAATTTTTTACAAAATCAAGTGTTTTGGTCAATTGGTAAAAAGCAATTAAGGGTAAAAGAGACTATCAACGTGTTGCTGGGGTTTTTTAGGGGGAAGGGTTTATCTGTGTGTTTGTTTGTAGACAAAGTTTCACTATACAGCCCTGGTAGGTCTGGAACTCTCACTAAGTAGACCAGGGGAGCCTACCTCAATCTCTCCTAGAGCTGGGATTAAGACAGGGACCCACCCTTCTTTCTTTCTTCTTTCTTTCTTTTCTTTCTTTCTTTCTTTCTTTCTTTCTTTCTCTCTCTCTCTTTCTCTTCCTTCCTTCCTTCCTCCCTCCCTCCCTCCCTCCCTCCCTCCCTTCCTCCTCTGCACCCCTTCTCCCTTCAAAACAGGGTTTGTGTAGCCCTGGCTGACCTGGAACTAGCACTGTAAACCAGGCTGGCCTCGAACTCATAGAGATCTGTCTGCCTTTGGGATTAAAGGAGTGTGCCGCCACCACTTGGTGCTCGCTCTCGTGTGCTCGCGTTCTTCCCCCCTTCTCGGAACCTGCATATTCCATCTTACCAGCCGCTTGCTGTAAAGCAATGCTGTACTGCTGCCACTGGAAACAGCCCATTTAGAAAAATGCATGACGTGCTCTAACTGCTTGGAAAGTCCAGCCACTTCCTGCTGTTGTTGCATAAGTTTCATTCTATGGTCCTTTGCAAGACTCTGCAAAGAAAATAATTTCAGAATTAGTCTCTATACCTCCCATTCATTTTAATGGTTATTTTCGGATAATCAACTCAGAATAAGAATCTCTCTATAGTCAGCTGACAGTAATCAAAAATGATCATAAGCACTTTGCTGCATAATACAAAGGGTCACTCTGAATATAATAAAAGTACAGCCTTCGTGTTCTCTCCATCTTTTGCCTACAGGTCTGGTTTTATATTGGTCTCTGTGTAGGAATCTTGCTAAATTAAACAAAAAACAGACATGGATAATGTTGGAAATGTTAAATTCAAAACACACAAATAAAATGGACATATCATCCAACTATCTACTCAACTTACTAGTTCATCATATGATTTAACCAATTCAGAGTCTACTTTTTTAGAGATTCTAGCTCCAATTGTAACTAGTTTGTACCCAGAACCATGCCAGCTGGTAACTGAAACTTATATTTGGTATTTAAAAAAAAAAATCAATTATTTGTCTTGAAAGTTAATAGAGGAGCTAGTAGATAAGTACTGCTAATGCATTCTCAGAGATACTACATAAAAACAGAGTAATTGGGGGGAGGGGGGCCTGGAGAGATGGCTTAGAGGTTAAGAGCACTGGCTGTTCTTCCGGAGTTCCTGAGTTCAATTCCCAGCAACTACATGGTGGCTCACAACCATCTGTAATTTGATCCTGGTGCCCTCTTCTGGTGTGTAGGCAGAACACTGTATACATGATAAATAAATAAATCATAAAAAACCAAAAAACAGAATAATGGGTTCAATGCCAACATGCCCACCACCACCACCAAAAAAAAAAAAAAAAAAAAATTGGGTCAGAATATAGACTTTCTCCACAGAAAATATATACTTAAACAGACAGCAATCAGAAATGGAAGGCATTGTACTGGGGTTGGGGTTATTAAAAATAAAAAACAAACACACAAACCTCATCCATAACCTAGGAGAGGAGGAGATAACAGGGCTTTCTATTAGCTTAGCGCAATTAGAAAAATGGAACTGAACTTTCATACCTGCCCTAGTCAGTTCTGTTTGGACAATGTACACAGCTGCATGGCTGAGCTACCAGGGGCATTGCTAACAGCCAATGGCTTTGTCACATCTCCCTTCAGTCTGACTCAGACCGAAGACAATTTACCTAGCAGCTGCATTCGACCTCTGCAGAGTGCAGTGTGTCTTTGGACTGGAGAAGAACTCTTTGAAGACTTTTGAGAGGACTAGAAATTGAGAATAAGAAGCTCTGGTATCTTGGTTTCATGAGGTAGCAAATAAAATTGGCTCCATTTATCTGCTCTGAATTCTGAACCCAAAGAATGGGCATGAGGACTTGAAGTATATTCAACAGGCACTATAAAATTTTCAAGTTGAAGTTTATCAAAACTGACACTGACGACCAAGTACATTTTTATAGATTCTAGAGTCTCATCCTTAACTTTTTTAACACTCTTCAAGTGGACAAAGCCCAGGCACTACTCTAGAGTATGGTGAAAGTGATGTGTGTCAAAAACTGAAAACATCAAACTCTGCTTAAATGTGCTCGTTTTTAAAACAACAACTGCAGAACCTTGAAAACACGGTTACCATAAGCGGCACTGATTCCTTCTATCCAAAGCACTTCCTAACTATTTCCATAATAACAGAATTATGAACAGCCATGTTTTCCGAGCAGGGACAGGACTTTCTGATAGAGGTCTTAACAACTGGTCAACTATGAATTAAAGATGAACTAGATTGTTTTCCTAGTTGTCTGTATTTCCAGTCTTTGCATACTAGCACTCTCTAGACAAGGAAAGAAAAATGATCAAGATAGTCCATTTTAAAACTGTTCTACCTGTGATTATAAGCTATCCTCTCTTGAGCATATACTCCCTAAATGTTGCTTTCAAAACCAAAACTATAAAATACAGCTGGGTATGGTGGTAATGGCCTAGAACTCAGAATCCAGGAGGCTGTGGCAGGAGGATTTTGAGTTCAAGGTTAGTCTGGGCTACACAGGGAAAAAATGCAGGAAAAAAAAAATGAAGATTATACAATATTGAGGGTAAGAGAAACATTATCCCTATCTGTTTTATTTTTGTTGCTGCTTTGCGTCAAGAGTCTCAGTATGGAGGCCTGGCTAGCCTGGAACTCACAGAAATCCCAACCTGCCTCTGCCTTCTGGAAGCTGGAATTACAGGCATAAACTACTACACCTGTTTTACCTAATTTCTCAGAAGATTAATTAAATGCCAAGCACTACTAACAACGGGTTGTAGTAAATATGTCACTCGGTGTTTTATCATTGTGCAGGCATCATAGAGTGTACCTACATCAACAAAGACAGATGGCCATGAGGCGACATACTATATAATCTTAAGAGATCACTATTACAGCTTGCTATTATATGTTGCAAGACTGTATTTGAAAACTAAATATCTCACACAGCTCATCTTTCTAGAAAATTCTGCTCAACTCTATTATCCCCTTGGTGATACAATGGCTGTCACTTCAGCAAATGTCTAAGATGACTGACTGATCAACATTTACAGAGATCCCTAGTACGGCTTTCTGCTCCGTGCTGTAGAGTAAACTGGGGGATGAAGACATCCTGGGGTATGATAGGGCTATAAGCAGGTGGCCACAATGCAGCATCTGGCGAAGGCAAGCATGTTGAGAGGTAGTCCCGAGGCACTGCCCCGACTCACCTCAAGCTGGTGCAGCAGGGCTTTCCCTTTCTTGTTTATCTCCACCATCAACGTAAAGATGGCAACTTTAATATCCTGTTCCACCTGCTTTTGGTTTTGATTTACTTCAATTATTCTGAAAATGAAATGAAATGGACAGAATATCTAAAATTAATGGCAGATTTTTCAAGTATTCAAACTGGCTATTTTAATATCTAAATTAGGCCAGAATGTTTTTAGTCTTTCAAAGTTTTATCTTCAAGTCCTATTTAATTTTGTAGATGAGAAGTTGTAAGAAACAGTAATTCAGTTAAACAAAACTTGGAGAGTGAGTACATTTTAAAGAACATGTTTTTAAAAGAAATATGTCACACAGCAAAAGCAATATGCTGACCTAAGAGGGACAGAACCAGGGAGTAGACTACTGCTAGAATTTATAGTCAAGATGAAACACAACTGTGACTGGGAACAAGTTTTGCTCTGTAAGTGTGATACTCTGATCTCAGGTGTCTGAATTGAAGACAACAATCAGTTTACTGTTCTAAGTGGCCCGGAGGGTAAAGTGCCTGCTGCATGAGCATGAGCACCAGAGTTCAGATCCCCAGCACCGACATCAATGCAGGGCAGGTGTGGAACCCACCTGTCATTCTAGCCTAGGCAAGTGGAGACAGGGTCCCCAGAGTGACTGGCTAGCAATACAAGACAAATCGCCAGCTCTGGATTTAACTGAGACTCTGTCTCAGGGAATAAAGTACAAGAGCAACGGAGGATGATTCCTGAAATTAACCTCCGGCCTCCACACGTGCATACATGTGCACCAGCAAACATCAGGTGCCCGTACACAGGCAAACACACACACACACACACACACACACACACACACACACACACACACACACACACACACATATATACACACACCCCCAATACACATGAAAATGGGGGAAAGCTCTTGAAATAGACAGCCAAGTAGCTGAAAAGGAGAAAAAACATTAACAAACTTAAAATATGATTCGAACAGATTTACTAATGAGCTTACTTAGGAAATGTTGGGGGCACAAAGGTTCTTGTACCCAGAGATCACAATGGACACCAGGAATGTTAATCACGCAGGGGTGTTTCCTCAAAGGAGGAAATATCTGTTTTCTGCCCAGAAGGCTGGGAGTGAACATTGTTAACTACCTGGTGACTTTTTGCTATCTGTAGAGGCAGACTTTACCCAAATCCCCCAGAACATTATCCCAGACTCTCCCTCCCTAGGTCTTTATCTTTAGCTCCCAGTTAGCAGAAGTCATCCTTAGAGGAAATGTCACATGTATTTTATGGCCTGCTGACCTCTTTGCTATCAGTCAAAGACCACACTAGATCCTAGGCCTTGTAGCTATAGAACCCACCTTCAAGGCCATATGGAGTTTGCAAAGGAGTTTCTATGTATGTAGTCACAGCTTAAGCTTTAATGTGCACCTGAAACTGGAATGATTGTTGCTTGGAAACTTTTTCCAAAATTCTCTATAAACTGTCTGGCATCAGACTCTAGAAATTGGATGTAGTCTGCTTCCCTGCCTGCCATGACACCTGCAGGGGCCCCTTAAGAAAAATATTAAATTACATAGAAAAAAACGAAGCTGAGGGGCTCTGCCTTAGTGTTAGTCAATGATGTTAAGATAGATAGCTTACTAACTGGTTTCTCTTAGACACTACAGGAAAATAAGGAAAACCGAATAAATAATACTTCTGACTCAATTAGAATGTAAGCTTGCTGACGTTGTGCTTTTATAAAAAAACAAAAGTTCATTAGGGCTGCTTGCTCTTTAAAGTCCCGTCATTTTAGAAGAGGCAAACTTGTCCAACTGCCTTGTTTAAGAAGCTGGAGCTGTGTTTCTTTGCCTCAGTGAACTCACTCAACTGCACAGAAGATGAGAAAGTCACTAGTCAGGGCCAGGCTCCTCTAAGCACTTGCTAGGGGCCCAGCCGCAGGCTAATAATAGTCCCGTCGTCGTCCGTCCCCCCCCCCTTTTGAGTGCCTAGTTGAATCCTTTGCTGGCTTGAACTACTGTATGTTTTATGAAACAACTACGTTTTAGAAATTCTTAGAGACAAACTGACAGGAAGAAGGAGTAGAGCCATACACCACCACACTGGAACAGCTTACTGGAGACATTTGGTGCCTATGCACCCAGTGCCACACAATTACACAAAGCTTTGTTTTTCCTGCCTGCTCCTCCCACAGCCACTCTAAAATTTAAGATCACAGTTGCAGAGACTGTACTCTGCTGTAAATTCTGAAAATAAATGCTTGAAATCAATATTGTTTCGGAATTAAGGAAATCAGGTAGGGGTTCAAAGCAACCGAAACTCACTCAAATCTTCAGTGGTTCAATGGGATGAATAAAGAAAACACTGCCATATTTTAAAACAAATTAATAGCAAAGTTAATATAATTTTCATGTTTCTGCATTCAGGTGTGTGTGTGTGTGTGTGTGTGTGTGTGTGTGTGTGTGTGTGTGTGTGTGTGTGTGTAGAGAGAGAGACATTTCAGTGACAATGCCTCATATACAAGAGACTTTGAGCTCAATCCCCAGAAAGGAGAAGAAAACAACAAAGGGAAACAAGAGGTCAATTAGCACCAACCTAAAGATTCTTTACTAGCACAACTCATAATAAAGTCTACACAGCAGTGCTATTATTCTGTTTAAAGAAAGTGGACCATATCTGTAAGCTGACAACTTCTGAGATTTAAGAAAGAGTATCAGAAACTTAAGATAAGCGTTGGCTACATAGCAAGTTCAAGGCCAACCCAAGCTACATGTGATACTGCCTCAAAAACAAACACACACCCAAAAAAAAAAAAACGAAAACGCACATAGTAAAGGAATCCCAGGCAGCTGGAGCATGGCAAACATGGCTATGGCAAGGCCTTGCCCTTCCTCCATTTCTCTGCCTTGCTAAAAACCTTTGGATTGCATTCCTAAACTAGTACTGAGGCCTATTCCCTTACTTGGCCACTTCTTCCCTCTGAGGCTGACTACCAAGGTCCAGCTATCAAAGTATTGAAGTCCAGCAATCAAAAGCCCCCTTTGGCTCACCTAATTAACATGCCCAGTTAAAATGAAACACCTCATCCTAACACAGGGGACCCTTTCATCTGTATAAACTGCCACTCGTCTATGTGCCACATCTGTCTCCTCTCTATCAAGACAGTCCTTTGTCCTTCCAGGGCAGATATTCCTTCCCCCTCTCCCTTTCCTCTATCTCTTGTCTCTGTCTCTTTTATTTCCAGCCGTCTATCCCTCTGGGGCAAATAAATCTCCTTTGTACTGAGAACTTGATTTCAGGGTTTCTTGTGCTGATTCCATTCCTTTCAATGTAGATCTGTGAATTCAAGGCCAGCCTGGTCTACATAGTGGGTTCCAGGAAGCCAGGACTCTACAGGTCCCTGTCTTAAAACAAAACAACAAAAATATCACATGAAACATTGTTTCAAAAATAAAATGAAACAAAAACCCAAACACTCCATCCCTACCTGTTTCATAAAACAGTTGTTAAAAATAACAGATTATGATGATTGGTTTTAAGCAAGATGAACCACAAAGGTTGACAAAATATTGAAATGCATAGAACAGTCTCTCTTATTCAAGATCTTTCTACTCAGGACTTCACCTGTAGACAGTAGCAAGTTACTTTTGTGCATAAAACAACGGAAGAGGACATGACATTGCTTGGTTATGCTAAGGTCCAATGTGAATGTCAGCAAGTGCCCTAAATGGGATGTGAGACTGGGGTACAGCTGATTTCATTCATGGAGCAGAAAAGGCTTAATAAGTAGTATCTAGAAAAACAGACAAAAAAAAATAAAGTGTTGTGTAATAGTTTTCTGAAGCATCCTACAGGGAAGCTCCTTAAACTGGAAGGTAAACAATTCAAAATAACTTCAGGAAGTCCCTGAAACCGGCCAACTTCACTAAGTTTCTCCCTGCCAGAGTAAGGAATAAAAGCTGAGAGCTTCCCTCAGAGTGGAGCTGAGTTGCAAAGAAGCCTCTTGAGACCAGACCAGCTGCCTAGAAGAGGTTTACCTGGCAAGGGCACTCCCCAAGCTGCTGAACTGCCTGTGGGCTGTGCAGTGTGCTCCAGGGTCTCAGCTTTGTGAGCTGCCACCCATACTAATGTGGGCTTTGGTGATGCAGCTGCCTTTGAGACAGTTTTGTTCCCCATATTCCTATAAGTAATCCCAGTAAAATTCATTGGTTTGCCAAATTGGACTTTTATGGTTCTTTTTCCTCCAGCTCCTGCCCTCCAAATTCATATTATTGTAATATATATATATACACACATATGTGTGTATATATATATGTATACACATATGTATATATATATGCGTGTATATGATATATATCATATATGTGTACAAATTGTGTGTGTGTGTGTGTGTACTATCTGGGGTGAGCAGACATGTGTGTTGTCTCCCCCCCCCAGGAAATACTTGGCCACAACAAAAGTTTAATAACACCCAGTCTCAGTGTGCTTAAAACTCCTACCTTGTGTGACTAAAGGATCAGGACCCAGGGAAGCATCTCGAATATTAGCAAACATAAAAATAGCAATTAAGTACATATTCAAGTATTAAACGTTACGTTATTGGCAAAGCTGACTTTTTCTCAATCTTGAAAAAAATTAAAATTAGAAAACACCAGATGATTATAAAGACATACCAGACAAATAAGCTATATTTAGTATACATTTTCATTTTATTAGTGAAGAAACTGCTTTCTAACCAAAATTTCTGAAAAAGCCTTACCAACCATGAACTATTTGTAATCCAAAAGCTTACTAATACTTTACAGTGAGTAAAGGAAAAAAAAAATCTAGAAATATATACATTTACCTTACAGAAATGATTTATTTATAGTTTCATAAATATAAGCTTACCTGTTTTGGATCTGATTTCCTGTATACTTTATATATTTTGTTTTTTCCATCAGTTTGGTGATTAGTGTATCTATGATCACTTTTTGATTCTGAAAAGCTTCTTCTATAAATTGATATCTGAAGAAATAATAAACAAATAACTTCATACATATATCTATACAAAAAAAATCCAAGAGTTAGAACTTCTAGAGGCAGCTCACAACTACCTGTAACTACAATCCCAGAGGACCATGCTCTCTGTGAGCACCTGAATCTACATGCACATACATACAAAGACCCACACATGAATAAATGAATCTAAAGAAAGAGATAATTAAAAAAGTAAACCTTTGAAAATACCGAATATGGGCTGGCAAGATGGCCCCAGTGGGTAAAGGTGCTTACTGCCAGGTCTGATTTTGATTCCTGCGACCCCTATGACAGGAGAGTTCCCATAAGCTATCCCCTGACCTCCACATACATAATGTGGTATGCATGCATGCACGTGCACATGCACAAAGTTTAAGAAGGCAGGTTTTCCCATCTGCTCAAATTATTACTCAAGAAAGGAGTCTTTAGATACTCTTTATTCAAGAGTGTAGTAAACAGCCAACATTCATAGTTTTAACGGTTTATACAGCTCATCTGACAGATGTAACAAAAAGCACTCAAAGATTTATAAGTAAATTTGTTAAGAGGTTAACTATCTTGTTACTTCATAATCATGAAAGCTTGCTGAGAATAAACACTTGCACCAGATGGGGTGGTGCAATTAATCCCAGCACTTCGGAGGCAGAGGCAGAGGCAGAGGCAGAGGCAGGCAGGCAGGCCTTTGTAAGTTGCAGGACAGCCAAGACTGCTTCCACAGAGAAACCATGTCTTAAAAAACCAAAAACCAAAACCCAACCAACCAACCAAACAACCAACCACCACTTTCAAGATAATTTCTAAATAGTAAGTAGCTTTGTTTTACAAGCTACAAAATTGTTCTTTTGGGATAAATGGGGAAAGGCATTTGATATTGTACCTCTTGATAAAGTCTTGAGTGACCTACAACATGACACAGCATTTAGCGTTGTTATTAACCTGGAAGTCAAGATGGCTGACTGTGGCAAATTATCGAAGAGAAGCAAATGAGGAGACAGGCAAAGTATACATCACAGGAAGAACTTGAGGGCTAGCAAGATGGTGTAGAAGGAGGAAGTATTTTCCCTAAGCCAGAAACCCCAAGTTCCACACTGAGTCCTACACGGTGGAGGAAAGAGCTGACACCTGCAAGCTGTCCTCTAACCTTCTTCACAGGCATGAACAATGAACTAGTTCAAGTGCTGGGCCCTCGGAGGCTGCAGCAAGAGGTTCTCTGTTAAGTCTGAAGTCATCCTGATCTATAGTCACTGCTATACAGTGAGACCCTTTCTCAAATAAAGAAAGCTAACATTTTTAAACTATAAAAAGAATAACTGCAAACCTAGAATTCTGCCCAAGGAACACATTCTTAATGTGAATGAAGGTGAAGAACTGGACGTGTTGGTGCACTCCTTTAAATCCAGCACTAGGGAGGCAGGCAGGAGGATCTCTGTGAGTTCCAGGATAGCCAGAACTATATAATAAAGACCCTGTTCCCCCCAAAACAAAACAAAAAAGGTGAAAAATATTTCAGACAATCTGGGGCTCTATCTCTGGTATAGCCTCAGTAAAGTACCCTTAAGTAAATGAAATACTGAAGGAGATCCATGAAGGAATAAGAATAATTAAAATCACAGGCAGCAGCAAAGTTAAATGAATATTGACTTAGGCAATAGGAGGAATGGCATGTGTATAATATATGCCATATATGATAAAGTAGGGGACCTATTAGGAGACAAAGGTTGTATTCGAATAGGTTTTGTGTCCAGTCCAGGAAGAAGGTAAATACAAATTAGCACCAGATAAGACAGTAACACTGAAAGTAGTCGGGGCCAGTGAGATGCAGAGAAATGCACTTGCTGCACACACCTCACAACCACAGGCTGATCCACAGAACCCAAGTGAAAGGAGGAACTGACTCCCAGACACTGTCACACATGGGAGCCTGCACTCAGACACACACAAACACAGACACACACAGACATACATACACAATAAACTTAATTTTTAAAAAGCCACCCATGGTAGCACACAACTAAGGAAGATCTCTGAAGTTTGAGAGTAGCCTGGTTTACATAGTTCCAGACCAGACAGGGCTACATAGTGAGATTCCACATAAATAACAACAAAACAAAACAACAACAAAAAAAAAACACCAAAGAAACAAAACAAAAAAGGTCCCACCAAAGCAGTCTCATTTTGTGACACTAGCCAACTAATACCTTGTTATTTTATAAACAGCATGGTAAGCCAGTAACTGTCAATATAGACTGACTTTGGCCTATAGGACATTTGGCAATATCTTAGGGATATTTTAAAATTATTTTTTAGCTTTCATTCATGGGGCAGAGGCATACAGGGGTACAACTAATGTGAGAGCCAAAGTTACATTTTAAGTTTTAATTACTATGCCTAAGAGATCCATGAAACAAAAATGTCTCTGATCTGCAAGCCTCTTGCCCAAGGACAGACAGTTCCTGAAATGCTGGAGGCTGTTGTTGATGGGAGCTAACAAGCCACGTGTTTTCACTCCCCTAAACAAGTTTGTTTGACCCAATTGCACTGGATGTGCTTGATCACATGTGGGCAGGAGGTTCACAGGCAGGAAATATATTAGGCTGTATGCTTGCCCCATTGGATGCAGGCTGGAGGTACAACAGGATGTACACCTGCCCCTGACTGGACCTGATGGGAAATACATAAGTCACTGTAAACTGTGATTAGGGGCCATTTCCCAGGAATCTGGGTATGGACCTGGCCAGTATTTAATTAAAGCTTATTTCAAATTTGGCTTTGAATGGTGGTAGTGGTCTTATTCTCGATTGGTGGGATTAAAACTAACACCTAAGTGATGGAGATCAGGATGCTGCTAACCACCATACAATGCATAATATTCAATGTATTGTCTGGACCAAAATATAAAGAAAACTGAAACTGAAACCCCTGGATAGGCCAGCTTGCCACTGGCCAAGCAACACACACACAAATTGCCATTCCTCTGGAGCAGCAGTGGTCCACAGGAACATAAAAGGTGTGCTGCCAGTCTGAATGACAAGAGATGCTGGTACCTATGCTCTTTGTGTTCTAGCAGCTGGCAGTCCCGACATGTCAGCTTGTCACATGTTTCACAGTAAAATTTCAATTGCTCCTTCTTATGGAATGGACAGAACACTGGTCGCTGACTGGTCACACCAACTGCCTCTGCAAAAACAACAGACAGCAAAAAGTAAATTAATGTAATTGAATAGAAAATCATTAGATGGTCCATTTCTGCTCAGTTCCACGAACATACAAGAGCTACATTTCTTTCATCGATGCAGTTAACCACCATTACAGATTTTCAAATATTAAATATTTTTAAGGATGGTGGCTAAAGGCATCTGCCTCCAACCCTGATGAACTAAGTTCAATCCCTAGACCCACATGGTGGAAGGAGAGAATCAATTCTCACAAGATGTCTCCCACAAGGTGCCCACACACATACTCACATGGAGTAAATTGCAAATAAACCAAAAATCTTCACAAAACACTTTTCTTAAGGAAAACGGATAAGACTTTTACTTTAAGGAGTAGTTTAAATGGTTAGATATGTAATGAAAAAAATGTGGTTTATAGAATTAGAAAGTCTTAAGATAGTTCCTATATGTATAAACTAAGAGTTTTCTATCCTAAATATGAGACAGGAGAATCAAAATGTGAGGACTTGAACTGGAAAGGTGGCTCAGCAGTTAAGAATACTTGCTGTTTCTTCCATCCCAGCAACCACATGGTAGCTCACAACCCTCTGTAACAACCACAGGTCCAGAGTATGATGACCTCTTAATGGTCTCCACATGCACCAGGCACTAAGGTGGTGATGCACAGACATACATGCAGGCAAAACACCCATACACATAATAAAATAATGTTCTTACAAAGTTGTAGACTGGCCTGGGACAGTTCTATAAATTGGCTCTCATGAACAGGGCCATACTTGAATATGTATCTCTGATTTCTGTTGTATACTGACATATTTCTTCTTCATAAGATAGCTATATTTTTAGTGTGTGAATCCCATCTCCCCCCCCCCCCCCCCGGCACACACACACAAACCAAATACTGGGAATTAAAACTAGAGCTTTATATAAGCTAAGCAAATATTTTATCACTAAGCTACACCCACTAGCTATATTTAGTTTTGTGAGGAGACTGCACGAATTTATATTCCCATCAACACTATAAGGCTTTTCTCCCTGCATCCTTGTTACATCTTTTATTATTATTATAGCCATTCTATTCTGACTGCGATGAGATAAGATATAAATGTAGTTTCATTTGCATGTTCCTTATGGTGTAGGCAACTGAACATTTTTTTTATATAGTTACTATCCATATTTACTTTTATTGACTGGATTATTTGAGGGGTGTGTTTTATGTTCAATTTTTTTAGTTCATAAACTGTCAACTTTTTATGTGCTCATGTGTGTTCGGGTGCACACATGTGTAGTGTATGTGTACACATATGAACACGTGTGTATAGAGACAAGAGATGGACCTCAGGTGTCATTCTCCAGGAGCTGGAGCTTCTCATTAGGCCCTAGAGCTATCTAATAAGCTAGGCTGCCTGGCCAACAGGTCTCAGGAATCAGCATGTGTCTGTGCCCTCATCCCCAGATGCTTCATCACTCAGATTACAAGCAGGAGTCATCATCATGCTGGCCTTTTTTTTTTTTTTAAATTTTTTCAAGACAGGGTTTCTCTGTGTAACAGCCCTGGCTATGCTGGAACTCACTTTGTAGACCAGGCTGGCCTCAAACTCACAGAGATTCACCTGCCTCTGCCTCCCAAGTGCTGGGCTTTTTTAATGTGGATATTAGTGCCTGAACTCAGGCCCTTGTCCTTGTACAGCCAGTACTTCACTAAGCTATCTCCTCAGCTCCTGTGTATATTCTAGGCCTTAATCCTTTGTCAGATTAGTAGCTGTAGCCTTTTTACTTCTGTGTTTACTTTGCTGAACAGGAACCTTTCAGTTTCATGAAATTTCACTTGTCAATTCTTGTTATTATTTCTGGGTCTAATTTGTCCCTTTCAGAGGCTGGAAAGATGACTCAGCAGTCAAGAGTACTTGCTGTTCTGTTCCTCCAGAGGACCTGGTACCCACATCAGGTGCCTCAAAGCTGCCTGTGGCTTTAGTTCCAGTTCAGATATTCTCTTGTGATCTCTGCAAGCATTGCAAGGGTGTGGTACATACAAGCATGCACCCACACATTCACAATAAACAATCTTTCTTTTTTTTTTAATTTAGGATGAGGCCTATATATTATTTATGATCCTAGGAATTGAACTCAAGGCCTTGTGCATGCTAGGCAAGCACTCTACCACTGAGCTACATTCCCAGCTCTGTTAACAAATTTTTAAACAGTCCTTTCTCAAAAAGTACATGCATAAACAAATCTTTTAACAGTCCATTAAAAAAAAAGCCCCCCTCCCATAGGCAAACTTTATTGAATTTAAATATTGGAGACATCTAAAATATTTATATAATTTTAAATTCTTAGATACAGCCCTGTTGGCAGAGTGTCTGGCCAGCACAAATGAATCCCCATGTTCAATCCCTGTCACCTCATAAGCAGGGCATGCTGGCTCAGGCCTGTAATCCCAGCACCTGAGATGGGAAGGCAGGAAGATCAGAAGCTCCAGATGATCCTTCTTGGTTCATAATAATCATACCGTACAGCAATTCACATTTAATAATACATCATACTTACTCACAGAACTACCCAAGTAGAAAGCAAGTAACAACAAAATTCCAAAACTCTGCAAGTACAGAATATTTTAATATTAAGTGAAACAGTGAAAAACTGTAATTCAAACACTTACCCTAAAACACATGTTAAGTATATAGCTCACTTGTCCTTGTAATAAAAAAAACTTTTTTTTGGGGGGGGACAGGTTTTTCTCTATTATGTAGCTCTGGGGGTCCTGGAACTTGCTATGTAGATCAGGTTGCCTCTGCCTCCTAAGTGCTGAGATTAAAGGTGTGCATCACCACACCCATCTCTAGTAATAGAATTTAAAACAAAATTAAGGTAATTGAAAAGAAACATAAGATTGGTGGACTAAAGGGCATTAAGTAATTGGGTAAATATACCCAAAGAGCTATTTCTATAAATACAAAGAAATAAAACCAAACCTACCATGTAAGTTAAAAAAAAATGGTAAAAATATAGAAAACTCACAATGAAAAAAGAAAATAACCATAGAAAAATTTGGTATTGTTATGATTCCAATGTGAAATGTTCCCTACCTCTATTCTGCTCCCCAAAGCTCCTGTTTTAAAGTCCTCAGCTGTTGAGCGAATCACTGAGATGACAGGATTATGAAAGACTGTAACTAGACACCGGGACTGATCCACTCTGCTTCTTCCTCCCAAGTGCTGGGATAACAGGCACATACTACCAAACCTTCCTCACGCTGAGGACCTTCAACTTACTTTATAAGACAAGCCAGAGATCTTTGCTTCATTTTAACTACTCATTCATAACCACATCGTAAAATTTTTGTTGCTCAAATTCATTCTATTTCTTTAATTATCAATTCAACAATCCTACTTTCTAACCTTCTTAGTTTACTATCCTGGCTATATTACTAATCCCTAATCAGTTATAGCCAATAGCCACCCAATAAATCAACTCCTTTATCCAGTTAAAACCCAGAACACGTCAACATACCACTATATGAATCTCTTATGCTGTTGCATTTCCATAAGATCTGTCCAGCTAACTCAACCCTATACTTGTCCAATTTTCTATACCAACATCCAGACTGCCAAGACCCAATGCAGGAAGTTTCATGGTCCACACTTCAAGCAACTCTTCAGTTTCTGTAGCTAGAGTGATTTGGCCTCCAACCTAAATCCTTAAATCTGAGGTTGGTACTCTTGGTAAGTATTCTAACAGAATTTAGTGGGCCCAACTATGGCTATTCATTTACTTACATTATATACTCCTATAGTACATGAGGCATCTGTCATTTTCATTTCTAGTACTTAGCAAAATTTAGAACATAAAGGAGGCACACACACTGGTTGACTCAAAAACAAACAGTAGGAAAACAGATCTTAAGCAAAAGAACAATAATACGTATGAGCTCTTAAAAAATTATGCTAAGTGGGGCTGGAGAAGAGAGCTGGTTCATTGGTTGTGATGACCAGCCTGACTCCATCTTAAGGATGGAAGCCATTTTGTTCTAGGTCAAAACAAGTTGATTTCTGTGGGCTGAAACGTTCAGACTGACTTGCTTTCACCTGTCTCTGGATCTGACATGCTCCCCATGCTATGGAGTCTGACGCTCACCTTAAAAGGAACCTGATTAGATGTTCTGCCAAATAATTCTGAAATGTTTAGCAAAGTTCCCACATAACCACAATTCCTCCGAACATTCTCCAACCCTTGAAAACCCCCTTGGCCTTGCAGGTTTTGGGCTACATAAGCCTACCCTTCTTCTGTGTCTGAGGCTACTTTCTCCAACTCCACTTTAGGGAGACAGTCCTGTCTACCAGAAAATAAAGCTCACATTATTTGACCAAAGAATTTGGTGTATTGGTCTTCACTCTCAGTGGGATTAACAAGAGCAAAATTTTTGTTTGTTTGTTTTCTGGTTTGATCACACCAGATTGAATTTACAGAAGCAGAAGAGCTGGGAATATAAATTAAGGTAAGATTCAATATATAATTCATACTTAACAGCAACTCTAAGTACAATTTCAATTAGAATGTTGACTTCTTTGTATTAAAAAGCTATTTTAAAGTGCATGTAATATTTATAGCTGTATCAAAATAAGTCAGTAGAGGAATTGTAAAAATCAGTTCTGAGAGAGAAAAGGAGAAGAGCAGAAAACAAATTCATTACCTGGAGATACTTCTTCTTTCTGCCGGACTGTGTGGTCTTTGGTGAACTTCACCCGCTGGTGAGCTCTAATACACGTTTTGCAGAGCCATTCAACACACTCTACACAAAACCCATTGGCTTCTGCATTGTCTTCACAGCTTGTACATACCTAATAAGAAAAGGATCTGGTCACATCAATTGTTGACAAATATTAAAAAGAATAAAATACCAACCAAATAGACTATCAGTTCTTATATTATTCTAAGTTTAAATTGAAAGTATGTATTAAACTATATGCATATAAAATGAAGATACTATGCGTAAGAATTGTCTTTTAGACGAGGTCTCACTATGTATTCCTGGCTAGCCTGAGACTCACTATTTAGACCAGGCTGGCCTTCAGCTCATAACACCTGACCGTCTCTTGCCTCCTGAGGTCTAGGATTAAAGGTATGCAACACCAGACTGGACAAAGATTATTTAAATACATTTTCTCCTTAGCCTTTAGACTGATATACTAGGCACCCATATGATCACTTACAACCATCTGTAACTCCAGTTTCAGGAGATCTGACATCCTCTTGTGGCTTCTGTGGGCACCGGGAATACACATGGTGCACATATATACATACATACAAACACCCATACACGCAAAATAAATATAAATAAAACAAAAATAAATCTCAAAAAAGATTAAGAATTGGAGAGATGGCTCAGCAGTTAAGACCAGTTGTAGACAACACTTGGTTGTTCCTGGCACCCAAATGGCAGCTCACAACCATCTGTAACCCAGTTACAGTGACTCCAATGCTCTCTTCTGGCCTCTAAGGGCACCAGGCATGCTTGCTGTACATATGCATACATACATGCAGGCAAAACACTCTTACAAATAAAGTAAAAATAGGTATTTTTTCAAAGTAATTTTAAGTACATTTTTCTTCATAGTTCAATATACTAGTCATTCCAAGCACAAGGCTAGGTACTGAGTATACAACAATAAGGAAATGTAAACATAGTCTCTGTCCTTATGACACAATCCTCTTAAAGGAACAAGTTCAAATTCAAGTTAACCCATTAATTAGCTTAATAGTTGGGCTGTATGGTTTTTGTCAACTTGATACAAGCCTAGACACATCTGGGAAGAGTCATTTATTTTATTTATTTTTATGTCTATGGATATTTTGCCTGCAACTGTATCTGTGTAGTACAAGCATGCAATGCCTGGAGAGTCCAGAAAAGGATATTTGATCCTTTGGAACTGGAGTTACAAATGGTAGTGAACCACCATGTGGATTCTGGAAATTGAACCCAAGTCTTTGGAAGAACAATCAGTGCTCCTAATCACTAAGCCATGTCTCCATCCTGGAAAGAAGAAATATTGAGAAAATGCCTCCATGAGATTGAGCTATAGAAGGGCTGGAAAGATGGTTCAGTGGTTGGGAGTGTTGGCTGCTGTTCCAGAGAACCTGCATTCAGTTCATGGCACCCACATGACAATTTAGGGCTGTTTGTAGTTCTGGGGGGATCCAGTGCCCTCTTCTGGCCTGAGTGGGTACTACATGCATATGGTACATGGACATGCATGCAGGCAAGGTGCCTACACACATAAAATGAAACATGAAAAGAAAAGAAAAAGGACTGGCCTGCAGACAATTCTGTAGAGTGTTGTATTGACTAAGGATTAATGTAGGGAAGGGACCACCTCATGCGGGCAGTGAGATCTCTGAGTGGGTGGTTCTTGGTTATACGAGCAAGCTGAGCAGCCATGGCATGGGGAGCAAGCTAAGAAGTAGCACTCCTCCATGGCCTCGGCTTCAGTCCCTGCCTCTAGGTTCCAACCTTGAATTTTCTGCTACTGCTTCCTTGACAATGAACTGTGTTGCAGAATTTCAAGTGGAAATAAACCCTTTTCTCACCAAGTTACTTTGGGTCATGGTGTTTTATCAAAACAATAGAAGCCATAACTGCAACAATGGTGTTGAGCAGGATACAGAACTCATTGTTAAATTGAGGGCAGTGATACATATTTTACTGAGTTCTTCTTAAGATTAAGTGGGAAAGACACATTATAATGCTCAAGCTGTTAAGAAGTGCTAATAAAAGGAAATGTACAAAAAGTTGTCAGCGCTTATGATGGAGACACAGGATTTACCCAGTTAAAGCTTCTTCCTAAAAAAAGACTTCATCAACACCACGCTATGAAAGCTACTAAATGAAAAGCTTTCTAGTCGGAGAACAGCACAAACAAAAATGCAAGAAGAACATGGCAGGCTTAAAGAACTGAAAGAAAGAAAGCAGGATTTTAGTATAGGAATCAGTGGGGGATTGGCAAGAGAAGGAGCTGGTGGTAAGGCAGGCAGGGGTCAGATCAAGGAAGGCCACATGACAATCAATGGTGGTCTTTGTCTGAAGAAAGATTAAATAAGAAAGACATGGATAGACCTACATTTTTAAAATCCCTATTACTGCAATACAAAAGAACAGAATAGATAAGTGCAAAGCATTCCCACGTAAGGTAATTTGAATGAGGGTTAGTATAAGTGAAGATGAGAACAGAATGGAAGATTTAGGAAGTGAAATGTTTGGAGAGTGCACTGGGTATGGGACGTGAACAAGAGAGAGTATCTAGTGTATGTATTTAGCTGGTATGATGGTGTAGATAGTGGCAACACTAAGTATCTTTGTAGCTGGAAACAAAAATGCACATAATTCAGAAGCTGCCTATAGTGGATGGTTGTTTGAGCCATGCCCTGAAGCACCACCCCTAGTAAGGTAGTAGGTAGTTGCTATACCTGCCTATGACCATGAGATACATGCCCCTGGGACGTGGCCATTGGGGACCCTTAAGACCTAGGATGTATGAACCTGGCTCTCTCTTCACTTTGCTACCTTGTGGTTTGAGGTGCTGGTACAGACCAGGGCAGAGCTCGCCAGAGAACTGCGATGGACCATGTCTCACCCTTCCAGGATCCTGCGAGAAATTCTCTTATTCTGTCTTGTGAGTTACCCCCCGACCCAAATAAATTCCTTTGACCATTAAATAGACTCTGTGGGTTAATCCCAATAGTGGCCAAATGCCAAATATCTATTATTTGCAAGAACCCAAAATCTGCCTTTTCTTAGGGCTTATCATCTTCACCTTTTTTCACACTGTTGATAAATGCTACCCAATGTTACTAATTACTTGCACAATCTGTCAATCCTCCTTGCTTTCTCAATGCCACTCTGGATCCCATCTGCCACTTCTCTTCCTCTGATTCTGTAGGGTTTTTGCTAGATTTAGGGATATCCCCTTGAGTTCAATTATTGTGTCTATAAGGATACCACTTAAATTTCTAATCTTCCACTGTAGGCTACAAAAAGGAATGAGGAATGTCTAATATGCACCACTCCAGATCTCTGGTAAGTGAAAGAAAATATAAAATGCAAAATAGGAGCAAGATGTGGTAATACCTGTAATCCTGGGAGGAAAGCAAGAGGACTGTGAGTTCAAGGCACCCTGGGCTGCATGGAAAGAGTCTATTACAAACAAAACAAAACAACAAAACAAAACACTCAGCAAGGTAGAAAGTAAGTGCCACTGGCAGGCCTAGGAAAAAAAACGATCAACTCATAGTCTCCAAAATCAGTTTCTATACTTTTATCCTTAGAGCAGGCCAATGAGCCCAGGGTCTCCTGCATCTACACACTACACCTAAGGTAAACCCAGGCCAATTCCATTAGGTAAAGCTGGTTTCACAAGGAGATAGTTTATCCCCTAAAGCAAACCCAATGTGGCCTTTGGGGAGCAATATGGATATTGTTAAAACAACAGAATTTTAATTAGTATCAAATAAGTTCTTTATAAATAAAGTAAACCCTAAATCCCTGTAGTTATACCTCAGGAATAAGAAAGTTGAAAATGAAAGGGTGGGGGGAGCACAGAAACTAGTCAGACATAAAAAAAAAATCCCAACAGACAAAATTAATAATTTTTTCCTAACCAGAACTAGAATTAGATTTAGTTCTTTTCTGGATCTTCTGTTACAAATAAAAGAAACCATCTAGGAGACACTAATGAATTAAAACTCACATGTCCATGTAAGGGAATTCACCTTAACAGGGTCATTCCATGACAGAAGACCATAGATTCTCCCTATGGATAACGTATCTACATTTAAGCTGAAAGGAGTGAAAAAGAAGATGCTGCTGCACATCAAAATTCAGCACCTTGGACAATGCTACTGACCAATGCTTTCAAGCAACACCACAAACACAAGACTTTCTTTCTTAAACATCTAAACCTCTAGGTATAGAGATAGCTCAGCATGTAGAGAGCTGTTTCCTGTCCGACACTGCAAGCCTGATGACCTAAGATAGATTCCCAGACTACACATAAAAAACGGAAGGAGGAAACAACTTCATTAAGTTGTCCTCTAATTTTATTATAGCCATCAAGTGTGCACTGACATGTGCACCATATGCATACATGGCACTGCACACATGTAGTATGCTTACTGCAATGCAGGCAAAACACCAATACACAGAAAAAGAAAAAAAAGACTAAAGTAACAATTTCAACACCCAATAACTCAGTACAAAGAAATTAAATAACGCTAAATAGAAGCTAACAGTTTCTCTGTAGCATATAGAAATATGATGATAAAATCACAGGGTTCTATACTGGCACTATTCACTATTGTTCATACACTTAAAAAGATATAGTTTTTGTCTATTAATGTTCTAAAGTTTGGCTTTTTCTATAGACTCCTCTAGCATTTAAGCTGCTTCATCATAGGTAGTGAAGGCTTGAATTTACACTTACCTGATTAGACTTTTCTACTGTACTACTGGGAACCTCAGTGGTGTCCTTCACAAAAAAGTTGTCTATGATGTGTCTTTCAGCACATTCTTGACTGCACACGGGGCATCGAATGACTCCAACTGGGAAAGACAAAATTGAATTTGAAGTTTAATATACCAAGACCACCGCATCTCATTTAAACTGTAACCAGAGGGGGTTTTTATTCCTAACATTTTAAAGTTCATATTTGCTTTCTAAATTCATAAGGGATTTGTGTGTGTATATATATATACTATATATATTAAATATGCTAAATGTTGCTTGCAAAAGCCCTTTTAATTTTAACTGGCATGCCCAATGGCTTTTGTTTTTTACTGATCAGCAACTTCTCTATCACTGTTGTGCAAACCTAAGTAGTTTGTGTTCTTTGTGTATTTGATGGTTCATCCCTGCACCCCAATGTCACATATGTTTTCTATAGAACAAGAAACTATGGATCTCTCCAGACTTACAGAATCAGAATTTCTGGAAGAATTACAATCATCTCTGTTTAAAGCTTCCACATTATTTTGTGTTTTCCTTGAACAGATGCAAACTGTTTCTATGGGGGAAAGTCCTCTCTCATAGATAAATATAATACATACAATGCATTGATCTAATATAGACTTAAGTAAACTCCAAGATTTTCCGATACTCATGGTTGAATGTCCCCTACAGGCTTAGCTGGCAGCACTATTTTTGGGTGTTTGGGAAATTAAAGGGAATAGGTTAGTGGATACATGTCTTGATGACATTTGGACCCAAGTCCCTCTACTACTTTCTTTCCACATGAGGGGAACAGTCTCCTCTAAATGCTCCCTATGTCACCACAGGTCCAGAGTCACCAGAGCAAAGACCGAAACATCTGAAACCATGAGCCTAAATAAATGCTCTTTCCCCCGTAAACATCTGGTATTGTCATAGCAACAAGAAAAGTGACTCATATCTTTGTACAGTGAAATGCATAAAAACAAACACAAAGGAATCCAAAGGCCAATTTTATCTATGTATATTCAGACAACAAACAAAAAAGTCCTAGGGCTGCAGAGATGGTTCAGCAGTTAAAGAGCTGAGTGCTCTTCCAGAGGACCTAGGTTCAATTCCCAGCACACACATGGCAGCTCACAACCATCTGTAACCCCAGTTCCAGGGGATCCAATGACCTTAACTGAGATCAGTGGGAACTGCACATAAGTGGTGTACACACATACGTGCAGGCAAAACACTCATACACATAAGTTAAAAAATTTAAAAAATCTCTTAAAAATCCATCTGAAATTTCACACATGAGAATCTAAGTCTGACCCTCAACAGATGCAAATTAAAATTTTAAACACACGTGTACATTTTTACCATTTAAACTGATTATGCTCTTCCACAAGAGCCATAGGTTATTCTAGCAAAACTCTAATACTAGGCATGAGAACCCAGTTTTTGAGTTGTCATTAAGGGGAATATAAGACACTCCCCAAATAATACATGTTATTGCTGTTGCCCTTGGTTGCAGTATAGAGCTTGAAGGTCAGTCCCTATTGCTGAAGACTCCATGTACTTCACACAAACTGAGCTTGGCATAATATCAATTATAATTACTATCAGCCTAGTAATTCATATTTTATCCTTAATAGCCCTAGTGGTTTTCTTGTGCCAAATATGAAAAGTAGATTGATAAGATACAAGCCTCAGAAAGACTTACAAATGAAAATAAGAAAAATACTCAGACACAGAGGAATTTAGAAGGAACCTACCATGCCACCCCATAATAAAACTGAAAGGGGAGGCCCAAATTTGTTAGAAAACCAACCTTTGTTTATCCAGTTACTATACAAGAAAGACGAGCAGATGGTAGGCACCCACAAGGTTATGAAGAAGTTAAAAGGAATCGTATAGAAATATTAGACTTAAGGAAATTTAAGGAAGCAGTTGTTTCATATAGTATGCATTTACCCTCTGTGAAGCAGATATTAAATTCATGGGCAACTCAGAATAGAATTATCCCCCAAGACTGGGAAGATTTGACAACAATGATACTGGAAGGGGGTCCTCAGTTATACTGGTAAACGCTGTGCAAAGAGGAAGCCAGAGCCATAGAACAAAGAAATGGTGCCAGAGGTATCAATACTTCCCAAGATGAGTTTCTAGTGAAGGTCAATATGCTGAGTTACAAAGACAGATTGAATTTGATGACCACACCTTGGTGCTATGTTGTTTAGCAACTTTAAATGCTTGGGACAATGTTAGGAATGAGGAAAGAGGTCTGAGTAATTTACTAAAATTATACAAGGCCCAAAAGAATCTTCACTAATTTTTTACAAATGATCTCAACTGTAAATAGAATAGTATCAGATTCAGAAGCCAGACAAATATTAATCAAATCTTTGGGTTTTGAAAATGCTAATTTAGAATGCAAAAGGGTGTTAGGCCTTTAAAGGCAAGATCAGCACCCATAGAAGAATGGGTCCAAAAAACAGTTGATATTGGACCCCATACTTTTAATGATGATACCTGGGTAATAAGCAGTGCTTTCTAAAAATATCAAGAAAAATCAAAATGTGGGTAGACCAGGTCATATGAAAAGGGAGTATAGGCAAGGTGCTCCTAGAAACAGTGTTTATTCTAGACGTAATTCAAGCAGAAGGCCCCAGCCTTCTGGAGTATATAAAAGGTGTGGCAGAGGCCCGCACTGGACTAATAAATGCAGATCAACAAGAGACAAGCAAAGTAACCCTTTGCCATGGGGAAATGCCCTGAAGGGCCTCCTGTAAGCCCCAATATCAAATTTGGTTCAATCATTCCCTGTCAGCATCAGAGAAACTTATCCACAGAGCAATTAAAAGACTTATGCCTGTTGTTAAAAACAACACTGCTCTGGATGTAATCAAGGACAGAACAGCTTCTAAATAAGAAGTTCAGGAGAGACCAGAAAACAAGTATTTTGGCAAAGTGCTCTAAATGATCAGAGATCAAAGCTAAAAATACAAATAAATGGCATTGAAACTGAAGGTTTAGTAGACATGGGAGCAGATAAGTAACAAAACTTTCACCAATATCTCCAACTCCAGATTGATCTCTTCAGGAGCTAAATATTTAGCTTCTAGGGATTGGAACTTTATCTCAGGTAAAAGAAAGTGTAAGATGGGTCAAGTGTATAGGACCAGAAGGACAAATAAGAAAATTAAAGCCATATGTAGCTAATACAGCCATGAATTTATGGAGGATGTGATTTGCTTGCACAATGGAAAACATTAACATTCCTCCAATCTCAGAAACAAACCATAAAAGAATGCTTCTGAAAAAAAAAATATTAAAAGGGAGGCTGGAGGTTAAGAGCACTGGCTGTTCTTCCAGAGGTCCCGAGTTCAATTCCCAGCACCCACATGGTAGTGAGATCTGATGCCTTCTTCTGGCTTGCAGACATACATGCAGGCAGATCACTGTATACACAATGAATAAATAAATATTTTAAAAAAACACTAAAAAGAATTATCAAGACTATTCAGGATGTCCATAAACAGGGCACAACAGCTACTGATCTTTCAAAGGTACCAACAGACCTACCTTTAAAATGGTTAACTGACAAGCCTGTAGGTAAAACAATGGCCTTTGACATCAGAAAAATGACAGGCACTAGAACAGCTGGTTCAGGAGCAGCTAAATGCTCAACAAAATGAAGAACTGACTAGTCCCTGGAATTTTCCTATATTTGTCATTTAAAAAGAAATCTAGAAAAATGGAGAATGTTAACAGTTTTAAGAGCCATGGATAAGGTGATTCAGCCATGGGCTCTTTACATCCTGGAATTTCCTTCCCTTCTTTATTACCTAAAAAGTGGTCTATTATAGTGATTGATTTAAAAGATTGCTTTTTTACTATACCTTTACAAGAAAAGGATAAAAATTTATCTTCACAGTGCCTACTTATAATAATGTACAACCTGTTAAAGGGTATCAGTAGAAAGTTCCTCCACAAAGAATGTTAAACAGTCTTAATATTTAGTACAAGAGCCGTTAGAAATAATTTGTAGAACAGTTTCCTCTATCATTATATAGACAGTATCTTACTGGCTGATTCAGATACGATACCTTAGGGAAAAAAGGTTTAATGAAGTGAAGAGAATTTTGCCTTGATGGAGATTACAAATTGCTCCTGAAAAAACACAAAGAGGAGGTTCCATCAATTATTTAGGATATAAAATAGGTTTACAGAAAATTTGAATATAGAAGGGACAAATCAGGAGAGATTTAATGATTTTCAAAAATTTTGGGGTGATAACTGGCTACAGCCCACAACTAGGTTAACTACTCAAGAGCTAAATAATTTATTTCAAACCTTACAAGGTGAGAGGGCTAAAATAGTCCAAGAAAACTATCAGCTGAGGCTGAGAAAGAATTGGAGCTGATAGAAAAGAAACTATAGGATGCACATGTGGATTACTTGGATCCAAGGCTTGATCATATTTCAGTTACTTTGCCTTCTATTCAATCTCCAACAGGAATTCTTATGCGGAGAGAAGATAATATCTTAGAATAGATATTTTTAGCACACAGAGTAAAAAAAAAAAAAAAAAAAAAAAATTAAAGACCTGTGTAGAAAAGGTTTCTAAATTGATTCTGAAAGAAAAAAAGGGGCTTCATCAATTAGCAGGAACAGACCCAGCAGAAATTGTGGTACCTTTTACTAATGCTGAAATTGCCTTATTATGGGCAGAAAATGAACATTGGCAAAGAGCTTGCAGTAATTTTTTTTGGCAGAAATTAACAACAAATATCCCCAAAGCAAGAGACTTCAGTTTAAAAAAAGAACTAATTGGATTCTCAAGTGTTTTATTAACTTTGCATTTTTTAAATGCTAATGAGAAAGGAACAACAGCTGCAGAGAGATACTAAACAGCAGAAAAAAACTGAATTAAACCAGCTTGTATATTTTAAAGGTGTGTTAACCTCAGAATGGAAACTGGGATATGTGTTAGGTTGGAGAAGAGGTTTTGCCTTTGTTTCCACAGGAGAAGAAAAGCTGTGGATATCATTAAGATGGATAAAGATTAGATTCAAACAGGAGAGACCTCCTGAATAACGGGAGATGATAGTTCATCAGACAGCTT